TTACGCCGAAAACTTCGGGACCATTGAAGAACCAGAGATCGTAACGATGTCAAAATTTGTGATGCGAGAAGCTGACCGCGCGCTGAGCCATGCGTACACCGCAACACAGAGCAAAGGAATAGCTCTGCAGAGAGACGTGTACGCGAGAAACGGAAGTACGTCGCGGCGAGAAAAGCCACGAGAAGCTACGATACTTACCGCTACAGACGTCAAGAGTGAAACGAAACAGTGTCTTTGTTGCGGTGGACAGCACGGTGTAAAAGAATGCACGAAGCTCGCAAATATGACTGTTACAGAAAGATGGTCGTGGGCGCAAGAACATAAAGTATGCTTCAACTGCTTACGCAGTCGACATCGTCGATTCTCATGCAAGGAAAAGCGATGCGGTGTCAACGAATGCAGAGGCCGACACCACGAATTACTACACGCCGAAAAGGGGACGCCGACGACACATGTAAACGGGACAACCGAAGAAACCGCTCTCGTCGCATCAACAGCGGCGACGTGCGGTTCGGTATTACTAAAGGTGTGCCCGGTATTAATACGCGGATCGGAGGGTACAGAGATTGCCACTTACGCGCTTCTTGACGAAGGTTCGACCATATCTTTAATTGACGAACAATTGGCAAGAGAGATAGGCGCAAAGGGACCTACACGTAACCTCCGCATCCGTTGTGTGTCGGCGACGAATAATCACCCGAACAGCCGCATTGTGGACCTGACTATTAGAGGGAAAGGACAAGACAAGTCACACGAAATAAAAGCAAGAACAGTTAAAAGCTTAGTCGTCGGAATGCAAACAGTAAGTACCGATTGTTTGCGGCTAAGCCACCTACATGATTTGCCGAAGGACGTCTGTTTTACGAACGCGGAGCCTAAGTTATTATTAGGTGCGGACAATTGGCACCTAATCATATCTCGCAAGATTCGTATCGGACATCGCAACGAGCCGATCGCGGCGAACACGTTACTCGGTTGGGTGATACAGGGGACGATGCCAAGACGACTCCCGTGGAAAGACGACGACGTGAGGATGCCGCCTAGCTACGAGATGGCCGCAAGACGTCTGCGATCAATTGAGAGGAAAATGGACCATTCGCGATCGTTCAAGACAGCATATACCGAGCAAGTTGAAAACCTACTCGCAAAAGGTTACGCTCGGCTAGCAGTCGGGACAGAAAAGGAAGACCCGAGATGTTGGTACCTGCCGCATTTCGCCGTCACGAATCCGAACAAACCGGGGAAAACCAGGCTAGTTTTCGATGCGGCGGCGAAAGCCTCAGGGGTCTGCCTGAACGACTTTTTGCTCGACGGTCCCGACTTGCTACAGAACTTACCCGGCGTACTTTACAGATTTAGGGAAAATGATGTCGCTGTCTCGGCGGATATACGCGAAATGTTCATGCAAGTCAAAATAGACGAAAATGATCAACCAGCACAGATGTTTTTATGGCGCGGAGACGACCGCCGTAATCCACCTCAAGAATACGTGATG